TGTAACTACACATAATCAGTGCAGGCTGCAGAAATTGGGGATTAAACCATGTAACATTATAAGGACCTGGGCTTAATCAAATCCACAGCTTTAAATTTATGTTGTTAACCATGGATGTTTTCAGTCACTCGTATATTTACAAAGGCACGCAAGAGACTGTGCTGTGTGTATGAGTGTGTGTGTGTACATTTGCACAGTGCTATGTGTTATTTTCATAACTTCTTGCCCTAAGCCTGCACAAATTGCAAATTTCCTCCGCTCTTATGAGAAAACAGTTTCACATTGTTCAGATTTTCCATCTTTTTAATATTATTTCTGACTCCTTTTATATACTTTAACCACAGTCACATTTAAGATTCTTTTAAAATGCCATCGGCCCATTAACTTAATATCAGCTGAATAAACTCATTTGTTTCAGAAAACTACACTACAGAAGTTAATTCAGCAGAAAACAAGTCATGAATAAAGTTTTGGTGTGGGATGTTAAAATTCCCGGATTGGTACTATAAGACTGCGATGGATTAAAGTAAGAAATTGGCCTACCGTAAGAGCATTCATTTACTGGACTGGACTGGAGGGTGATACAGTTTGAAGCTGGAGGATTTCTATATAAATATCCGATAGCAGTTAGATCCCCTAACTTTCAGCAGCTGTTGAAAGGATAAAGTTGTGGTATATCAGTGGTTAGAAATACCATTATTACTTTAGGATTAGTTTAACACAAAGTCAGGGCTGACCCGGGACCATTGCTGTGAGTTACAGTGCGCAGCATAAAAGTCCTTTCACATCGAATGCAGGATGTGCTGCTAATACTAACTGCTAACTAAAAGCAAAGGATCCAGAATTTGTTGCGCTGGCTGCTGAGCTCTGTGGGTTTTTGCAGCAGCTCTACCTGTACTAGATGCACCTATTCCTTGTCGTTTCTATCTCTGACTTTATGTCCTCTACAAGAGTTTCTGGGCTTTTTTGCTAGTTCTTCAAATGTTCAATAAAAACATGTATACTAATTCATAATGAAGAAAGCTTTGTAATGAAGACTGTCATTTCTTAAACGCTGCCCCCCCGGTCCGCAGCGCTATTGAGAAGGCTGTGGAAGTCCCTGTATTAAACACGTAGACCTGTGACACAAAAATCACCAAACTCGGACAACCACAGACTGTTTTCCTTCGTGGTGATGAAGGAAAACGCTGGGTTGGCATGTAAAAGGGCATTTATTCCCTTCAAAGACCTGCAGTTCAAAAAAGTGCCCCTCCGACAGCCAAACCCATCTGTTCTCTGATTGGATTGTTACATTTGTGATTGACATGACATTGACCAATCAGATGAAAGGAAGAAAAATAGGGTCAAAATTTGTACTTGTAACTTGCAGGTGTTTTTTTTTTTTTTTTTTTTTGGCTAAGTCCACACACAAATCTTTTTTACGCACATGCAAATCCTGATTTACAAGTACAAAATATTTATGACCACATTTTGAGCACATACAAAAGCAGCACTTGTTGAGATGGGTGAGTTTACTCAGTGGAGCTCCCAGTGAATCTGATCAAACTATTTCTGAATCAAAAGCCTAGTTCTCAGTGACATTTATGGAATTTTACATGACCAGTGCAAAGCTTTTGTTTGGTAATTTCTAGTAAGTTCATCTGGTTGAACTAGATGAAGTCCAGACTGACTATGACTTACCCCTTCAAAGCATTTCAGAGATTTTGCCTCAGAGTCTTAAGACACTCAATCTTTCGAACTGAAAATCTGGTAGTGACTAGAATTGTTTGTTCCAAACATGATTAGCTACCCCCAGGTTATTTCAAAGTTGTTTGATAAATGGGAACTGAATGTGTCTGCCATGTGTTGCACGAATCCTCATTGTACACAATTGAGAACCACAACAATGCAACACAAATCTACAAAAATACTGAACTTTAAATTTTTTTCTTTAAACAAATCTTTGTGCTTTAGCGATGTATTTATCCAATAATAAATGGAACACAAATGTAATACATTAAAGAAAGAACAGAATGTCAACCAAGAGTCAAAACACACAATACTGATTACATCTATTCAAGTTTTTGTTATTATGGAAAATTTTAGGACAAAATAAGGAACTGAAAACGTGGATATAATTAGCATTTCACATGATAGATTTTTCTTATTCTTTATTACAAATTGTGTCATCTGTAGCTAAATTATGTATGGGAAGTTACTAGCATTTAAGCTCCACAGCTTTTATAGGCATTACATTTTCGAATAAGTATAGTATTTCAGATGCGTTTTGGTCCAATTGTCATATACTGATGCATAATAGGGATCCCACTGAATTACTTAACGAGTATGTTGCGGGTATAACATATTTCAGCATATCTCACAGAGTGCATCAGAAACCCCTCTACATCCTAAATCAACACAGTGAGACCTTGGACACATTTCTTCCACTCATGATGCCACTGTTCTAGCACTTTTAAAGTTAAAAAAAATATATGTAGGAGAAGTCTGTTGCATGTGAAAAACGTTTGCCTTCTGACACAGTAAAAGTTCAGAAAGGGTATATTTTAACCCAAAGAATGACCTTTTCCTAAGCCTTTCTCAGTTTTTGTACCTTAACATAACTACAAGAGTAGACTACGAAAAGTAAAATCAAAACAAAACTAGATAATTAAAAACAAAGTTTTAGACACAAGGATGCCTTCTGGGTTTGGATTTTATACCACAAACTCCACTGAGTTCCTCGTTTGGACTTTTGTTCATTTTTATACTACTTCTTTTGACAAGATTTTACTATGCATAATGAGAAATTACACTAACGTGTCCTTAACAAGCAGCATAAGCGATGTGAATGGGCTGAGAGAGTATTGGATTGCAGCTTGCTCTGCTAGCTGCCTGTTACATACAGTGGCTTGCAAAAGTATTTGGCCCCCTTGAACTTTCCCACAGTTTGTCACATTACAGCCACAAACATGAATCAATTTTATTGGAATTCCACATGAAAGACCAATACAAAGTGGTGTACACGTGAGAAGTGGAACGAAAATCATACATGATTCCAAACATTTTTTACAAATAAATAACTGAAAAGTGGGGTGTGCGTAATTGTTCAGCCCCCTTTGATCTGAGTGCAGTCAGTTGCCCATAGGCCGCTAATGACTAAATAGAGTGAACCTGTGTGTAATCTAATGTCAGTACAAATACAGCTGCTCTGTGACGGCCTCAGAGGTTGTCTAAGAGAATATTGGGAGCAACAACACCATGAAGTCCAAAGAACACACCAGACAGGTCAGGGATAAAGTTATTGAGAAATTTAAAGCAGGCTTAGGCTACAAAAAGATTTCCCAAGCCTTGAACATCCCACGGAGCACTGTTCAAGCGATCATTCAGAAATGGCAGGAGTATGGCACAACTGTAAACCTACCAAGACAAGGCCGTCCACCTAAACTCACAGGCTGAACAAGGAGAGCGCTGATCAGAAATGCAGCCAAGAGGCCCATGGTGACTCTGGACGAGCTGCAGAGATCTACAGCTCAGGTGGGGGAATCTGTCCATAGGACAACTATTAGTTGTGCACTGCACAAAGTTGGCTTTTATGGAAGAGTGGCAAGAAGAAAGACATTGTTAACAGAGAACCATAAAAAGTCCTGTTTGCAGTTTGCCACAAGCCATGTGGGGGACACAGCAAACATGTGGAAGAAGGTGCTCTGGTCAGATGAGACCAAAATGGAACTTGCACATCACTCTGAACACACCATCCCCACTGTCAAATATGGTGGTGGCAGCATCATGCTCTGGGGGTGCTTCTCTTCAGCAGGGACAGGGAAGCTGGTCAGAGTTGATGGGAAGATGGATGGAGCTAAATACAGGGCAATCTTGGAAGAAAACCTCTTGGAGTCTGCAAAAGACTTGAGACTGGGGCGGAGGTTCACCTTCCAGCAGGACAACGACCCTAAACATAAAGCCAGGGCAACAATAGAATGGTTTAAAACAAAACATATCCATGTGTTACAATGACCCAGTCAAAGTCCAGATCTAAATCCAATCGAGAATCTGTGGCAAGATCTGAAAATTGCTGTTCACAAACGCTGTCCATCTGATCTGACTGAGCTGGAGCTGTTTTGCAAAGTAGAATGGGCAAGGACTTCAGTCTCGAGATGTGCAAAGCTGGTAGAGACATACCCTAAAAGACTGGCAGCTGTAATTGCAGCAAAATGTGGTTCTACAAAGTATTGACTCAGGGGGCTGAATAATTACGCACACCCCACTTTGCAGTTATTTATTTGTAAAAACACAAGTCGAGTCATATGCCAAGGCCAGTGCTTTATCTTGTGAATTTTAAATAAAATTATTTCAGTTATTTTTGATTGTATGATTTTCGTTCCACTTCTCACGTGTACACCACTTTGTATTGGTCTTTCACGTGAAATTCCAATAAAATTGATTCATGTTTGTGGCTGTAATGTGACAAAATGTGGAAAAGTTCAAGGGGGCCGAAAACTTTTGCAAGCCACTGCATGCCTGACTATGAGATAATAAGACAGAAGAAAAGGGTCAGTGCTTCCTTTTCTCCTTGAACAACTCCTATGAATCCAAACCACCCATGTCTCTCTCTCTCTCGATAGATATATAGATATAGTGGGATGGCCTGTAATTTTGTTCTATTTATTTTTTGTCATTCAGTTTAAACTGTATAAAAACCTGCAGTTACAACAGAAGCTCTAAATGTATGTAGTATCAGTGTAAAATAATAAGATGCATGTAATGCAGGGAAAATGATAGAAGATACTCTGATGATTGCAGTTATGTCTGTAATATTGTAGGATATTTACCTATATATAAGGCATCTTGTAATGACTGTTTTTATAAACTGATACTGTTTAAATATAACTGAATTCTGTTGATGAAAATCAACTAATTAGGGCTCAAATGGTTGAATCCTGCACTAAAATCATCTTTGTGTGAATAAGAAGTCTCGACTTAGGTTACCCCAGATCACACTACTGTTTGTCACATTAACTCACCATGTGGTTGTGGGTGTCATCCTGTGTGTGCTCTCCCTCCTCCTCTTCTTCATCTTCCTCCTCCTCTTCAGCTTCGCTGTTCTGTCTCTGCTCATCCTCATCTTCAAGCTCTGAACTTGATTCCTCCCCTCCCTGCCATGCCTCCTCACTCTTGCACTCCTCTGTATTGATCAAATCTGCATGAACGCGAACACACACAAGAAACCCAAACGTGAGATGGACATGTCGCAGCTGCAACTGCGAAAACTGTAGATCAGATTTTACAAATACTGACGATGTCTTTGAGGAAAGAAAACACGGCCGTCCTCACAGGGTAATCTGATTTGAAAATAGGCCTCATGAAATAATAAAGAAAGAATGGAAATTCAATCCAGAAGGAAGGAGTAATTTTTGTTTGCTTTGCTTTTTTTGCAGGATAACAGTTCAATGGTCTTAGTCAGGCAAGTGCTATTGTTACTACCCCTCTTGCAGTAAAACTGTAAGAGAAACACAAACATTTAATTCTGTACTAAAAGCCTTGAACATCAGAACATATCTTTAAAGAGTTCTAATGGCTGAAGCCTCAGAAATCCCACATAAACTCAGGACTGTGGAATATGTCTATTGGCCTTTCCATTAAAAGCTTGTAGACAGAAGAGCCTTTCATAGTTACGAAAAACAGAGAGAATAATGACAGCATTAAAGTTCAAGTTCATTTGGGAACTTGATTAGTGTTGTTTCAGTGCTGTAGCAAGCCAAGATGTTAGCTATGTGGTACTTAATCATACAAACTTTCTTTCCTGTGGTCCCTGTGTGCTTTCTTTATTTGTTCAGAAGCAACATTTCGTCTTACCAATAGATTTTATTTATAGTTTATTTTAAGAAAAATCCTTTTTCAACACCTACTCAAGTCAAAAACACTCTGGAAGAGGTAAGCATTATTGCCAAACTATCAAATCAAGAGACATCTTCATGTAAGTACAGAAAGTGAGTAAGCATCAGTAATCTCGTTAAAACAAATGGATTAAGGTTCCAGCCATCCTTAGCAACTTTCCTCTTGTGCATAGGCCCAATCTATGGAAAAGAGCAAAAGCAGGCTTCAGAATTATTTGGCAAAGTTTCAAAGGTGGGCTGCCATTCAGAAATCTGGAATCAGGCAACACAGACACCAACATTTTTGTGTTTCTAAAGCTGCATCCCAGACTCCTCGTACGGATACAAGTCAACTGTTTCTGATTTCTTCTCATCTTGGACTTGCTTGCTTGTGCCTTTGTATTTCTTAAGTTTTTTTTTTTAATTTTTATTATTATTATTATTTTATAGTCAGTATTGTAATCACATATTGGTATAGTTTTTGCTGCAGTGATTAGTCCTTTTGACCAATTCGGTCCTTTTAACGATTCTTTGTTCATGTTTCTCTCTCTCTAAAGTTTTACAATATAAATAGTTTTATAAGGCCGATGGTTATTTTATTAACACTTACAATTACTTTGTTTAGTTGAGCGGTGAAGTAGCAAATAGTTTATAAGGCTTTGATTTATACTGTATGCATGGCCTAGTGAGGTTATTTCAATATAACATATGATGTTGATTCAAAGCATTCAACTTGTGTTTGTTGGCTATCCACTGAAATTCTCAATATGAAGTCCAAGGAGAGGTTGATGCCAGGGAAGGAGCCAATTCTTAGGCTGAAAACACAAAATGGACTATCAGGAAGATAGCAAAAAACTTCACATTTGGCCAGATTAACAATGTGATACATTTTAAAGGAGAAAGAATTCACTGGCCAGCTCAGTGAGACCTGAAAGACCACAGAAGACAACTGAAGTGGATGATCAAAGAATTTCCTTTCCCTTTCCCTTTCACAAGAAAAACCCTTCACAACACCTACTCAGTCAAAAACAGTCTTGAGGGTGAAGGCATTGCTTTCTCCATTGAGAATTCAGCTTTCAAATAGAGAGGGTTTACAACAAGCTGCAAACTGCTGGTTATGCAGAAGAAAAAGCCTTCCCACCCCAGGGACAAAACCAAACAAAAAAAACATGTTTGGACAGATGAAACCAAGAATCATGGGAAGAGAAAAGTATGGAGAAGGGAAAAAAAACATCTCACGATCATAAGCATGGAGGATACAGTTTTCTGGAAGTGAATCACTAGATTTTATGATTGGAGTAACAGGATGAATTCTGAAGTGTACAAGGCTATACGCTCAACTCAAATCCAGCCAAACGCTGGAAAACTGAAATGGACAGCACTTCAAAATACAAATGAAAAATGACCAAACGCACAAAAGCGAGAAGGTGGAAAGAGGTGAGTGAGGAAAAAAAACACAAACAAACTGGGGCCATGCGTTGTGTGGAGCTCCCTGTAACCGAGGCCTATTTAAGCTTAACCAAGCGAGGGTTAGTTAGAGGGATCCAGTCCTAACCATAAGCTTTATACAAAAGAAGAACGATTCAAATGCTGTGATTACTCTGGAAGTAGAAAAAGTCCAATTGCATCTGACTTCCACCATTGCTCCCTTCACAAAACTGTGGCTGCCAGGAAAATATTTTTATTTGTTTTACTAATTCTGATTCCTGAAGAGGACAGACTCCAAGGTTGGTTGGAAACACCAAAAAGCAAACAAACAAACAAACAAACTGTGCTGTAACCTTGATACTGGTGATCTTGAGCAGCTTTCTCAGTAAGCAGACAAATATTACTGAATTTAATGGCCCCTCATATAATGTGTATGGAAATGTTCTTATGATGTGAAAAAAAAAATGACTCTGCGTGCAAAATTGTTCAGTTTTATGACACGTGCACACTGGCCAATTTTTGTCTTACCGCCATGTGTATGTTAGTAAATAAGACTCATTTTAAATCAGCGGGCTCATGCTCGCTGCCTCCAGTCTGCATACTATTTGTTTACAGCTAGACCCCCTTTGCTCTATACAAGAAACAAGTTTGCTTGGAGGTGAAGCGGAAACAATGTTGATATAAGAGAAAAGGCTGCACTAAGACACAAAAGAAAGAAGAAAAATAACAGATATTAGAAACAAATAATGGTTTCCAAGGTTCAAGGAAGACCTATACAGTTCAATGACTGATTTTACTCAGCTAGTGCAAAATCACAGGGACAAAGTCAAGGCCCCTTGAAAATGAGGTAATTGTTTGCATTTGTTTAGTTGACCATTACTATTTTACTACTGTTTAACTCTGATTAGCATAATCAGAGTGTGCACTGGTTTTGTAGAGTTCCAATTCCTTGAATGCTTTCATTTATAATGTAAGGTATGTATGTGTGTGGGGTGGGGGTGTCACCTGTGGCAGCTATGTGTGGGTCTTCTGTGATCTGCTCCAGTCTGCCCAGCAAAGCCTCGATGTTGGCTTTAATCTGAGTCAACTCTGACTTTATCGCCTGAAGCTCTGTGCCTTTCACTGCTGATAGAGAGACACAGACAAACATAGACAGAGATGAAGAAACAGAAACAGAGGGGAGGGAGGTGAGAGGGGATGCAAGTGTCCATGTCCTGATTGATAAGCCTGCAATGAAAGATCCACACACTTTTAAACACACACTATTGTTTAAATTATCTTTTTTCCTTTTATAACAGTACATCTTTCATTTTTGATCCTATTTTGAAGCTTCATTTGCGCCTTTTTTCCTTTAAAAAAGTCCCCCCCCCCCCTAAACTTTTAGATTCTCTTTGATTTGATCTCATCTCTCATATTTCTAAGCAGGCAATACAAAACTTTTGCTAGGCTCCTTGAATTAAATCTGGACGTCTGCACTTTAATCACATCCTGATCGTTTGATTTAAAATCCATGGCGGTGATGTACAACGACAAAACTGCACAAGAAATGTGTCACTGTCTCCAAAGTTATGGCCCTGGCTACATCAGGTCCCTCTTCTGATCGCTTTGATGGAAATCCGTAAATATATTTTGATCTTCATCATGTGCTAGTCAAAAACTTGATGTGTTAGCAGCACCGGAGATAAAGTCAGGGGATCACCAAGAACATCTGGAGTCGCGTGTTGGGATTCATGAGCATCTGTGCCAGATTTTATGACATTACAGACAAATATCCTGCTGTGGATCAAAGTGATGAATTACAGTCTTATTCAGTAAATGTTAAACTTTTTCATCTTTTTCTTTAATCAAAGTACTCTGATGTATTTCTCTGAACTTAATAGATTTTTCTGATCAAACGGATGAAAGCTTGTCTGTGTTTTGAAAATAGAAATGTGAGGAAATCTACTCAAGTGTGATACTATTTCTATTTAGCCTTCCATTTTCCCCTTTAACTCTACCAGCGTACCTCTTGTGTGCTCACTTCTGCCCCCGTCCTTCTTTTCTGGTCTTTTACTCTGTTGTCCTGTCCTTTTCTTTTAGTTTTACATTGTATTTGTATTACATTGTATTAAAATTCTAGTTTTGTGTGCCCCTTTTTTAAAGCACTTTGTGACTCTTGTTTGTGAAAAATACTGTATAAATAGATCATTTTTTCTTTCCTTGCATTACCTTGCTGAGCCGTGCCTCCCTGAATAAGGTTAAATGCAGACAATTTGGTTCTCTCAGCCAAAGTTTATTATTACTGTAATGTAGTAGTGACAACCTCACCGTCTTTGTTTAATCCTATTAAACCTACAGGGCAATTCATTTTTTGTTTTTAACTTTGAATTTTGACAGACTCTTTGTCTGGAAAAATGCTCCCTTTATTATTCCTACAATAAAGATATCAAAGGCAATGGAACAGATAAGTACACATCCAAAATCCAAAAGATGCATCTCTGTTTGACATAAAAATAAGACAGCTGAACCCTTTGATGACCTTTCAGTGATCTTACACACACACACAGCCTCACACACAAAGACAAACCTTGAGATAAGAGGCCTGCCAGAAGCTAGTAATAAATCGACACATCGCTGCAGTGACTTGGCATTAGTTTCTCTTTACCACTTATCACGACCTCTAGGGAAGATCTGTTTTTTACAGCACACAGAATCACCGACATAAAAGTTTTAAGATTTAATGGGTGTTTTGCCTTTGATGGCTGTTAAGATTGTAAAGATTTCACCAGAAGCAACTGGACACAAGCTGCACTCAAGCTGTGCATGTCGCTGTAAGGACTGGGGAAAAATACATTTTTTTTCTTTTAAGTAGACAAGATGGCTTGTCATGCAGAAATTGATGATTGGATTATTGAAATTAAATTGTTACCAGGACTTCATGTCTTCACTCTTTCCACCCTTCTCACTCGCACACAAACTCAAGAATTCCCACCCCCCCTGCCTTTTACAGCTTGTCTGTTCATTACAAGTTATACATGCAGGCACAACCCGAAGCCTTTTCACACAGGCTCTTTTAGAAGGTTGTTCTGACTCTAGACCCCAGGCAACAAAAGACCTGGCAGTCTTTTGTTGCCTGCTTGTGCTGCCATGGCTTTTTGCCTTTTTCCATCTCGGGCATTAGACACTGGTGTCTGACACTTAATTTTGGTCTTACATTTATTCTACTGAAGACTTTATGAACAATCACTAAAACTCTGACTTTTTCTCTCTGAGTAACTTATGTATACCTTTTTGATCTTTAAGCTCGAATAAGCACAAGCTCAATTCAATACAAAGAATCGACCTGAGCAACGCAGTTTCTGCTACATTAATGCTGCCCTATCTGGAGAATTGTTATTTTGTTGTCCAGCACATGAGATTCCTTTCACACTTAAAGTGTCTAATTTTGATGAATGAATTTATTAGAGTTATTTGACTTCAAACAAAAGGGACCCAGAATCTGCCTTTAATATCTCCCAGCCCACACACTGTGACGTCAACTCCAGCCAACATTCAGCTAATCCGCATTGTTCAACCCACGCCTGGCGCCTGCTGAATTCTGGAGAGTCTCACCTCTTTGGACGGCTGTGTGAGAAGAACCAGAACCAAAAAAACAACTCTGGATCCAATTCATGACTGTACCATAAAGGTAATGATGCACCATTCCTTTCTATGACCCCCTGAAATTTGAATTTGATTTAGTTAGTTTCTTGTAGCATTTTGCTCATATAAACCCCTTACCCCTCAAGGCTGCAAGAGAATTGGGTACACATAATGTGTTATTATCCTCACAAAACATTAAGTTAATAAAAGAAGAACTGTTTTTTTTATAGTTACAGTGATAACTTAATAATATGAGTGTATTATTATTTATTTAAGTATTCTCTTAAAGCCGCAGGAAACAGAAATAAACTGAATACTATAAAAGAAAAAAGAAAAAGGCTACATGTAGCTGTATGTAACAGCATTTTTTTTTTATTTCATAGAACAAAATCATTTTTGTATGAAGCTACATGACTATATATATTTTAAATGTGATACTGGCATTTATTGTATTGATGCAATAAATTAATTTTTCACTATGCTTTTGAATTTAAATGCACAGATAATATTCTTGAAGGTGGTCAACAGTGAGCAGGAAAACAAAAGATACTACCATTTAAAACCGATGATAACTTCTTTATTTAAAAAAAAGGGGGGGGGGGTTTAGTAAAGTTCTTTGGACAGAGAAGTCGCTGAAGTTCATATCACTTCTATCTACAACTAAGACTTCTGAATTCCTAACTTAATCCAAGGTTTGTTAAAATGTCAAAGCTAAAGTCAAAACGCTAAAACGGGTCCATCTGTTTCACATTTCCATGCTGGAGGGAAGTATCTTCAAGGCAGCGCTGTGATGGATGTGACCATGCTAATGCTTTGTCTATGATAGTTTTAATATTTAAAAAAACAAGAAAAAAAACACCTTTCCATGTATTAGTTTTTGGAAATGATTGATAGAGCTTAAATTATTATTTTGGTCTTATTCGGTGTATACATAGATGACTCTTAACAAAAGCTTATCACAGCTTGAAAGGTAAATTCTTCAATTCTTCAAAAAATCTTCAAAGATTGCATGAAATGTGCTAAATTGTTATGGAAGTGAGTAATAATGGTTAAAGTATCCACTAAAACAACTAAAACTCATCTTTTTGGAGTTTGGTTAACATTAACTGTTTTACTGCTCTGGTATCTTTTTTGTCGTGTAGCACTTCATGATCCATGTCTTGAAAACTGCTATATAAATAAAAATTTACTTACTTAAAAAATGCTTAGAATGCAAAACAGGATACACAAAATCTAAAGTAATAAAGCAAGAAAACCAAGATTTATTTGTTTAAAGAAAAGAATACACATATAAATACAAATCTAAAAGCTGGGCCATTACTAGATAATTATTTAATTATCCTTTATTAACAATTTTAAAAAACAAATATTCAAAAGTAAAAAAAAAAGTTTAAAAAAATGTTTTATTAAGGCAATTTTATTTATATAGTGTATTTCATTACACTCAATATGTTTATGTCCTCATGTGGGTTATGTTAAAGCTGAGGTCCCTTGACGTTGAAGCAGGATCATCTTTAGATTTAAGTCTTGATTTGGAACAGAAGAGCCCCCAGCTCAAGCTCTAAGGCTGCAAACTGGTGGATATGACTTCAACATTTCTCCTATGTAGCTCGGGGCCAGACCCAGATAAGTTCCAAAAGTGATCAGCAAAATAAAATTCAAAAATAAATCCCAAAATATACAGTACATAGGAACACTGTAGAGAAGCCAGGACTGGTTATTCTACTCATTCTAACTGCATTCTGAATTGGAGGGAAGAAAGATAATTTTTTCATATTTAGCCCAGAAAAGAGGTAGCAGATGTAGTCTCCAAAGCACATAAAAGCATGAATGGCTTTTTCTATATGGGAGCATGAAAACGAGCGGTAATAGTGGTAGTAATTATTAATAGTCAAATGAAAATCATGTGAAATATAAAAATGTCATACCGTTGACCATAGGTCCAGTTGTTTAAGGATGTCCTGTGTAACTGCAAGCACAACTTAGTTCATATCAGCGAGCATTAGGCCATTAGGAGGGGAAAAAACTGTTCTGAGACCCCCCAAAAATCTACAGTTAAAAAAGGCTTTTGTTTATTCTCTTCAAAACAATTTGCAATGTAAGTTTAATGAATACACAGAAAGACACTTAAATCTGTAACATGTAAATTGCTTTGTGAGCTCTACGTAGACTGAAAAATTCAGGGAGCTGACAGGGCCTCTGCATAATTTGTTTAGAATCTGAATATGCCTTCAATTCATGTGATGGGCAACTGGTTAAAAAAAAGGAAAGAAAAAAACAAGAGAAAAAACAAGAGAGAGACAAGAATTAACTTGATGTTTTGGCCTTCCAATGTCATGTAAAAGCAGGGCTTGAAAGATAGATGAAGAGGAGGTTTGAGACAGGGTGGAGCTGGTTAGAAATTAAACCAGAAGAGATAATGAATAAGAGAAAAGCAAGAAATATATGTAGTCAGAAGGAAAATGTTTGGTGACAGAGCTGTGTGTTTTTCCTAAAATCAATATCACTGACAGTTTGAGTATTTAACAATTTATATGTACAGAGTTGTATATCAATATATGTACTTTCTTAAAATCTCGATATTTATTTTTACTTCTACTTGGAAAAGTAAACAGTGACAAACTAAAGTCAACACATCAGACTTTAATGGTGGATTAATGTGGTGTAGGTACTGCAATGCTTTACAACAGTGTCTTGTAAAGCAAAACTGGCTGATGGTTTGTTCATTTGTACACGTTGAAACTCACATCTTTGTTTGTTGCCATTGCTGGTTGGGAGGATGGAGGCGTTACACGCCAGCAGTTTGACAGGCAGAGACTTGACCCGTCGTACAAGGGGCACAGCCACTCTCGGGCGTTTGACTGGCACCACACGTGGAACAGGAGACACTCTGCCACGGTACTCAAACAACCTGCGAAGAGGAAGGTGAGGGGAGACAGAAAGAATGAGAAGGAAGCAGGGGCATCAAAGTAAAGAAAGATAGAAAGGAGGGTTAAAAAGGAGGGAAACAAGAGGAAATGTTGAGATAGGAGAATAGAGGTCAAATAAGGAGGCAATGTTTTGAAAATGACGTAGTGTACCAGCAAAAACTACATTTATCTTTAGCTGAATCTATGAAAAATGCAGAAGATGAAACAGTTTGACAGCATAAAATAGTATTTTTGCATAAAACTTGGGATACCTCACTACTGTGTGTTGAGTGTCACTGAAAAATTTGAGAAAACTGGACAAGTGGAAGATAAAAAAAGAAGATGGAAGCTTTAGATGTTGTATTATCACTTATATTCTTTTGATTTTTTTTTTTTTTTTTTTAGATATTTATTGGTGTATGTGTGTGTGTTGTATCTTTTATTTTTTTTGTGTATCCTTTATTTCATGTGCTGAACTTTGGTCAAATTTATTGTTTTAAATGTGCTTTATGAATAAAACTTTGCCTTAGATTGTACTGGGAGCCTAAAATAAACTATCTGACTGATAGCTATCTGTACAATGCAGTGGAGGCTCTATCATGGTTTATGGCTATTTCACCTAGTGGTGTGAATGAGAATTGTCAAAATTGTCAAAATTGATGGAATTACAAATTCAGAAAAGTATGATCATATTTGTATCCACCATCTGGAAAGCATTAGATTGACAAAAACTTCAATTTTTAATATGACAATGATCCCAAATATGCTGCAGTACAGTACAAGTATACCTGGATAGAAAAATACATAACATCTGTCATGGACTGGCCTCCCCAGAGCCTTGACCTCGACAGCCTTACTGAAGCAGTGTGAGATTGGATATGTGGATGTGTCTGGAAATTTGCTTTAAAAAAAAGCGGAAAAAAAACCTACATTCAAATAAATAATTTATGCAAAAAAAAAAAAAAAAAACTGACAGTAAAACTGAGAATGTCTGGCTTTGTGACTGTGCTGCTCACAGCTATACGTAAAAATCACCCAAACAATACCAAGATTTAATGGCCAACATTTATTAGGTGCCTGGCTTTTTTAGTACTTCCATTGGCCACTGCTCAGCAAAAAATCAACAACAACTATTAAGGTATTCTATTAGCCTTGTAACTTCTCAGCAGAGCTTTTGGAAAAAACATCTGTTGCAAATGGTGTACTTGGATTTTATGAGGATAAACACTTTGAAAAAATACTTTATTACTATTGTGGAAAAACAATATTTTTGATCTTTCTGTGTGGAACTTCTGGTAGTTTGTTAACCCCTGTGGCTTTAGCACAGTGATTTAGTAATGTTTTGAGCCTTTAGTAATTTCAAAGCTTGGCATTTGTGTTTTATTGAGCATGACATCTAAATAAAAGTGGTTTAGAGATTCTAAGGCAAAATAATTTACGCAGGCATCATTTTATCATTTTATGAAAGAGTCCACAGAAAGAGCCAGAGGAAAAATGTCGTTTTTGAAATCCAACATATGAGCCTCATTTTCTTGTGGTACTCCCTGATGACAGTCTGCTGATGGCTTAAATAAATTTATGAACTTCATGTTTCACAAGTTTAAAAAATATATGCAAAGTTATGTTGGCAAAGTAATACAATTGGGTTACATTACAGTTCAACCAAACAGAAAACTGTAATAAATTAAACCTTTTGAAACATTTTCAATTTTAAATCTCAGTTGTTTTTGAACATGTTGCTGCAAATAAAAGAAACATGAGCTCATGCTGTGAAACCGCCGAGGCAATTCAATAACCATCAAATGTCTTTAAACAAATTGGAATAAGCAGAATAAGCTGAGGAGCAGAAATGAATTACGACGGCCCAAACAAGTTGATTCTTAATTATGAATTGTAAAATAGTTTTGAATTAACTTCATTTAGCAATATCTGCCACTGGTTATTTATTTGGCAAAGATTAGCAACAACCAGGCTAAAGTAGGGACAGAATGTCAGTTAAATGGGCAATTGTGGCTCAAGAGTTGGGATTGTAATCGCCTTGTAATCGGAAGGTTGCCGGTTCGAGCCCCAGCTTCGACAGTCTCAGTCGTTGTGTCCTTGGGCAAGATGCTTCACCCGTTGCCTACTGGTGGTGGTCAGAGGGCCCGGTGGCGCCAGTGTGTGAATGGGTGGATGACTGAATGTGTAAAGCGCTTTGGGGTCCTTAGGGACTAGTAAAGCGCTATACAAATACAGGCCATTTACTATTTAAAGCCAGTGACTCTTTTATCGCATAAAAAGGTAAACATTTACATATTTTCTATATCTGCTTGAAAGCCATTATCTCTTACTGAGGTTTTAAGTTTTGTTGCGCTAGCTAATGGTAAGAAAACCTGGCCATGTTGAACTTGTTTTGTGGGTTCAGGTGTAGTCCACAACCTTAAGCAGCTCTACAAATTATAATGAGAAAAGGCCAGCCCTCATTAAGGGCATTGATTAGGAGAAACAGATAAATAATCTATTACATACATTTATTTTACTATTTTTTTATATATATTTGTATTTATTTTACTCCCATCACAAATAACCCGAGATTAAAAGCAAAAGATGTGACTGCCAGCTCTAATGATCTCTGTAGCTGAATAAAAAGCAGGAACTCAACAGTTGCTTGTTTGTATGTATTTTCAACACAGGAAACTTTTTCGGAGCTGCTCTGATTTAGCATCGCTGAGAAGAACAAATAATTTAAAGAGTAATAAATTTATAAAACTATGCAGATTTCTATAATGCAATCTCAACAACATAATCCCATTCTGCGTAACACACTGATTTACGTTAAATGGTAAGAATGTGGCCATCTCTTCTGTTTGTGGAAGAGCAATGAACTACTACAATTTAACGTCCCAAGTCTGAAAAAGGGTTCCAGGAACCTCGGGTCAGAGTACATATTTGGGCACAGTTAAAAAGTTAACTGCTTAAATCAAAATCTTTATTTACACCCAGGAGAAAACATGTCATGTCTTGGTTATTCAATTCGGGTCATGAAAAATAATGACATTTTTTAGAAACCTTCTGGATTATGGGGATTTAATTCAACCACTCTGGGAACAATGACCTCCATTTGGTTTTACTACATTATGTGCTATCCACCCAAGCCTGCAGTTTGAAACTTTTTGGACAAGCAACATCATTTTTTGGTCTGTTTTCAGTAATACGCCCAAACAAAGTCCATAACCTCTAGATTTACACACTCCTGGAGGTTGTTCAGATATTAGATAAACTGAGATTTTTGCAGATAGCAATAAAACTGTAAAGTCAAAGAGCTGATAATCATCGTACATAATTTGTCCAGATGGCATGGCGATTTCCTCCCCTAACTTAATAAAAACCATGAAATGGTAAATCATATTGTGTAACATGAAAACATAATACCACCATTAAAGCAAAGCTGTTCTGCTGAGCCACGCAAACCCCAGCAGAAAAAGTCCCTGATCCCTTGATTTACTGTAAAGATCATACTTTAGGAGGAGGATAAACTTTGATCCCAGCTCAGGTGATGTAGGGTCATGAGTTTCAAAATAAATAAGATACAGTAAAAAGAATGGGGAAAAAAGACAACAGCAGAAGCATTCTCTCTCATAGAGTCCATTTTTGATATAGAAGTAGATCCACTTAACTCAGATTTTTCAATTTTAGGGTCATCGTATTTTATTTCACATGTGCACAGCCTCAGCCTGAACACTCTTAATCTATAAAAATACTTATAGCCTGGACTGTTTATAATATTTTTACAGTTAAAAATGTGAGTGAAAAAGTGAGATTGACACATGGGTTGGGCGTAAATCAGTGCTGAGGTCTGTGGCCCAGCTGGTCAGCATGTTTCACCAACTGTTAACAAAATGTGTCTGCCCACTTGAGCTCAGAAAAAAATCTACAACTATGGTTTCGGAGCTGGAGGGACTGAAATGGGTTTGAGAACCCAAATTGTGGCCAAAAGGTGAGCGGGTGCAAACTATTGATTTGTTTTCTTCGCAGGGTGGTTGAACACTGGGAATACGACTGTAAACATCTGGAAGGAATTCTGCGTAGCAGTGCTGTTCTTTGGAAAGCTTTTGAAATAAGCCAGTTAAGGTGGCTGATTCAGATACCTGATTAAGAATGGGACATGGATGCCTCCGTGTGGAGGCGCATCTTACCCGCCCTTTCCCAAGTCTGCCAACACGACAATCCAGTCTGGAGCAAGTGTCACATAAAAGAAGTAATAGATGGAATATTGCACATTACTAATATTAGACAAAAAAACTCACTGATGCAATGCTTTATTTGTAAATACACAATACAATCAAGTTGTTGTGTGTACAGTGATCCTAAACTTGTAACAGTAAACAAGGCCAGGTTCATGAAGCAATGTTTTTGCCAGTTTGGCCTGGAATAACTTGGCTCACATCAATCCCCATCAAACATTATTTGGGATAAGGCTGTGAGCGTGTTCCCAACTTTTGAAATGATCTTGTAGCTAAATGAAAGCAGATTACTGCAGAAAGGTTTCAAAATCTGGTGCTAATCTTTTCCAGAGCAATGAATTATTATAACAGCATATGAATGTCCTATGAATGTAGCTTTAACATCTTCACCAGCCACACACGGGTGTTCACAAACCTTTGGCCATAAATTTTCTGTTGTTCCTATGCTCTATCTGATCTTTAGCAAAGAAAGCCACAATTAATTAGAGTGAGGCTGTCTTTTGTTTTTGTTTTTTTTAAATTTAGTGTTTAATTTTAAAAGAAGATATCTGTTGACAGTAGATATCTACACTACGTGAGGCTCACAGCTGGTGTGGCAGAGATGTACAGAGAAGTTTTTTTTTCACTTGTTTATTGTTAAGACCATGACTTGTGCGTGCGTAGTAAGTGTAAGCATACACTTCACTGACTTTGCTGTGGGTGTAAATACACAAATCGGTTTCTTCCTGATTAGCTTTAAACGTGTATAGGGTCTACAATTGGGAAGTCATTAAATATGT